ATTTTAATTAGAATTATATTAGATTTTTTATTTTTAGTATTTTTTAAAGATTCTTTGTATTTTTTTTGTGACTTCTTTTAAATTATTTCAATAGATTAAAATTTGATTGGATTATTAGGAATTACTTGAAGTTTATTTAAGGCTCTATTAGACTTGATAGAATTATTGCTGCATTATTACTTACCTTCTACAATTAGGTATCCAGTGTATTCTCAAGTAAGAATATACATAATATGACACCAATAAGTTAGCAAATGATAGTTCTTCAATTCAATCTACTTGTTGTTGCTTCTCCATCTTTTTAACACCACAATTACATAAAAACTACAAACAAAGATAGAAGGTAGAATGCAATCTTTTTTAAATTATATTTCTTATATAATAAAGATTTGTTATCCTTCATCTTTGATTTGATGGATGTTGTTGATGAAAAGTTTTAATCTTCTCTACTATATTTCTAAGATTTTTTGCTGGCTACCATGTACGTTTACTAATACTATATCTGTACCAATGAATAAGATATTCTAACCTAAATTGATGCTGCCTTGAATCAAAGACTTTTTTTACCTTGAATTCTTTATTATTACACACTTTTACAGAAGATAGTGGTATTTGTCTTCTTCTTGAAATATCCACTGTCTAATATGGCTCTAAAAGAGACATGTGAAATATAAATATCAATTTTTATAGACTCTAGTAGATATAATCAATAAACAACTAGATTGACTTGTTTATAAATAAAAAATGGTCCAAGTCTATAATAATCCAACTTGTCACAAGAACAAGTAGTTTTAATATTATGACAAAGTAACCATATCTTATCACCAACATAAAAATGAGGTTGTTCCTTAGAATAGATATCCGCATTGCTCTTTTGTTCTTCTTGAGCCTCTTTCAGTTGTACCTTCATTGTTGTATATAGCTCAAATAAATATTTTGTTAAATCTTTACCATAAAATTATCAACTTTTGAAAAGTTATAAGTATCAAATCATGGATGGTAATCATAATTAGCAAAGAAAGGTGTTTATTGTGTTAAAAAATATATCATGTTATTATAAGTAATCTGTGCCAATGGCAAAAGAATTATCCAATTATCTTATTAATAATTGATGATACTTTTCAAATACTACTCCAAAACTTTATTTTCATTCTTTGTTTGTCCATTAGTTTATGGATAAAAAGCCAAAGATAGTTTTACATCCACTTTTAGAATCTTAAAAAATATTCTATAAAATCTTAATAAATATTAAGTTTTCCTATTCAATATGATATCTTTAAGTAATCCATAATAGCACTAGATATTAAAGAAAAGCTTGGCTAATTCTTCACCTATAATAGATTTTGTACATAATATAAAATGTGCCATTTTGGTGAAACGATCTACTATCATAAATTAAGAGTTATAAGAATATGTGATTAGAAGATCCGTGATAAAATCTATAGAAACAGAAGACCATAGTTGTTCTAGAATAGATAATGGTTGAAGAAGCCTATAAGATTGATGACAAGGAGTTTTTGATCTTGAACAAACATCATAAGGTTATACAAAATCTTTAATCTCCTTCCACATTTGAAGCTACTAAAAATCCCACAATATTAATTCCAAAGTCTTATTGTATCCAAAATATCCTATTACTAGAAAGTTATGACAAGCTTGAAATACTCACAATCAAGCTTCACATTTTGGAACATATAAGCATCCTTGAAAATATAGTAGATTGTTCTTAAATTCAAACTTGGAAGTATTATGAGACTTTGAAAGATTTTCCTTAATATTACAAATAAGAGGATCAAAAAATATATTTAATTGATCTTATTTAATAAAAATTGAATGAATAATTAATGTTGATTTTATTGCTCAAAGATGAAGATGATTTGGCTTCAAGAGAATTTTCCATTATTAATCAAAAGTAGTAACTCTTTTCTTTGGTGCAAGATAGGATCATCTAAACAATGCATCTAAACAATGCATCTTGACAAGGACATACTCCAAGGGCTTGGCGACAATTCAAAATATATATTAACATAAAATATTTAAGATTCTTGTGATTCATATATATGGTGATTGAACTAGGAGTATCTTTAAGATAATAGTGCCATTTTTTTTTATATAAATCCACAATTACAAAAAGTTCTTTATTATAAATCTTGTAATTGATCTCAATTATTAAAAAATTCTAGAATAAAAAATTATTAGATGAAGTTTAATATCTATTTCTATTTGTAACAATAAAATATCCAAAGTAAAATTTAATATATTAGTTTCTATAAAAAATAGCTTAAAAAAGTCAATGCTATATAAGATTGGTGTAAAAAAAAAAGTTGTCTTCAAAGCTTCAAATGCTACTTGTGCTTCTTGATTCTATTGAAATTTGTCTTTATAAGTCAAATGTATAAGTGGAGCTACAACTTCAAAAAAATCTTTGATGAAAATTTAATAGTAGTTGACAAATGTCAAAAGCATTAGATATTTTTTATTGTTTTTGACATCTTTTAATCTATAATAATTTGAATTTTCTTAGGATCCATCATAAGTCCATCATTTGAAAATATATCATTCATTAAATGTTTAAAAGCTGCTAGCGCATTTGTAAGTCTAAAAGATATGACATTATATTCAAAAATATCCATTCCTATTTCAAAATACATCTTTTATTCATCTCCTTCTTTGATGCATACTAAATTGTATGCCCCTTGTAGATCTATTTTTATATAGATCTTAACTTGATTCAACTGATCAAGAAGTTTAAATATCAAAAGTAGCAGACACATGTTTTTAATGATATTCTTCTTGAATCTTTCATAATCAACACATATCTGTAATGATCCATCTTTTTTCTTCACAAACAAAATTAAAGCTTTTGTTAAAGATTTAGAATAAGGTATAAAATTCTTGGATAGATTCTCTTCAATATATTCTTTGAATTCAACCAACTCAATTTATGATAAATTGTAGATTGGTCCAAATGACACTTAAGCTCCTTTTAAAAATTTAATCAAACCATCAAAAGAACAATATTTTAAAAGAGCATTTACATTTTTCTTTTCAAATATATCTTTAAAATCTTAATATTGACTAAAAATACTATTTAAAGTCTTTTTATTATTAGAAATAGATGTGACATAAATGACTTAAGGTGATCTTTTTTTTGCAGCATGCAAAAAATCTCTTGCACTTACAAATACAAGTTTGATTATATTAGACTTATGACCTTTTACTTAATTAAGAGCATCTCCAACGCGGGGCTATTCCAAGATCTATTCTATATAGACCTGCCACGGAGTTCCCCAACACAATTCTAAAAGCTATCTATTCGATAGACCGTTCTATTTTTGAAAGAAATAGACCGCTGGCTATTCAAAGGTCTACGAAGTTGCGTGAGTGTCGGGGCTGGGATTCAATTCTAGTAGGGGTAGAATAGAATAGTTTTTTTTTTTGAGAACTGTAGTTTGATACCTCAATATTGCTCTTACTGTCTGCATTGCTGCATCGATAAACGCCATGGAACGCGGGAAGAGCTGGAGCTCCAACGAGGACATATTCCTTGCCCGCTCAGTGGTCCATGTGAGTCATGATCATATAGTAGGTGTTGACCAGAAGAGTTCCAAATTCTACTACCGTGTGTTGCAGCAGTTCCAGGTCTTCGTTCCTAATTCCAATCGAACCTCTGATACACTGTGCAACCGCTGGAAAGAAATTCAATCGTCATGCTCGAAATTTGCAGGACATTTTGCCATATCATTGGCGGATCCAAAATCTGGACAGCAGGAAGACTATTACATTGAAGAGGCCCTTGAAATTTATGTCAAGTTTGAGAAATCTTCCTTTAAATTCCGCCAGATCTAGGAATACCTCCGAGAGCACGTTCCAAAGTTTGAATATGGACTAACTCCCAAGGCTAATCGTTCCAAACGCATGCGGCCAGACGAAGATGTTGTGGATTTATCTTCAGATGAGGATCGACCTACCCCATTGAAGCATCCTATGGGAACCAAAAAGGCTAAAGAGATCGTTCGAAAGAACGTGGATGAAGATGACGAATTAGCTGGTATTCAGCGCTCTTATGTCGTTGAAGCACGACGTCGAAAAGATTTGATTGAAGAACAGAATAGGTTGGCTCTTTTCTCGGTAGATATGACAGCATTAGATGATACTGCCTGCCAGTTTCATGACCTGAAATGAAAAATTGAGTTGAAAAAATTAAAATAGCAAGCCCAAGAAATGAGAATTTATCCAAACTAATACATCAACAATGAGATTTCTTATTGTTCATTTCCAGCCCTTTGTCACATCTGAGATATTAAATCCGATTGCAATTCATGATACACTGCGTGATAACAAATTGTTTGCATACGAGCCACCTTGATGGCAAGAGATTGTACGGGCAGATCTTCAATGGCAGTACGATAGATCTCAATTGGTTGCACTGTCTTTCGATGGCAACGGCGTCGACGATCTGGACGAATCTCGCCTGTTTCAAATTCCTGGTCTGAGGTGAAATCCGGAGAGTACCTTTCATCTTCAACAATCATGTTGTGCAATATAATGCAGGCCCTCATGATTGAAGACAGTTTCTCCTGATACCAACTACGGGCTGGGTTCTTAACAATGGCAAATCACTTTTGTAAGACACCAAAAGCTCGTTCAACATCTTTACGGCACGCTTCTTACACCATTGCAAAATATTTTCTTGCGGCTCCTTAAGGATCGGGAATGGATTTCATGAAAACCGGCCAGTTTGGATAGATTCCATCTGCTAACCAATAGGGCATGGAGTATGGACTTCCGTTGACCACGTAATTGACCGATGGCATCTTGCCTGTGATAATAGAATGCAGCAATGGGGATCGTTGAAGAACGTTGATGTCGTTCATGCTATCGGGCATGCAAAAGAAAGCGTGCCAAAACCAAAGGTCATGAGAAACAGCAGCTTCGAGCACAATCGACGTTCCTTTGATCCCTTTGTATGAGCCATGCCAAGCTTATGGGCAGTTTTCTTATTTCCAGTTATAGCAATCAATGGAGCCAATCATCCCAAGGAATCCACATGCAGCGTTTCCTATGAGAATTCGCTTCAAATCTTCCTCTGTCGGTGAGCGTAAATACTCTGGACCGAAGTGTGCTTCAATTGCCGCACAGAAATGCTGCAAACAATCGCTCGCTGAAGACTCACTGATTTGAATATAATCGCCAATTATATTGCAGCTACATCCGTACGCAAGTAATCGAATTGCAGCAACCACTTTCTGGAGAGGGTAGAGACCTTTCTTTCCAAGTGCATCAATTTTCTGTTCGAACCAAGGATCTTGGGCCTTAACGCCATTGATGATTCTAAGAAATAGCTCACGGCGCATACGAAAACGTCGCCTGAACAACTTTGAAGAGTAAATTGGATAATCAACAAAATAATCTTGAAATATTCTTCTATATCCTTCTTCAAAGTCACGGTCAGTGTTGACCGCTCGGCCTGGACAAGAACCTTCGTGATCAGGCTCGTCAGATGTCTTCCGTTTGAGACTGAAAAGCATTCTGGACTCCTCCAAGTCATCGTTAAGCAGATTTTCACATCGGGCACGATCAAACCAGTCTCGAATGCTCGGGATCATTGCAGTTTAATTTGAACGATAGATAGTAGCGTGCTTGTGCGCTGTACGGGGTTCTATATAGAACTGTTCTATTTCAACTCCATAGCGCTGAAAATTGCCAATAAACCTTAGATTAGACCCTACGCATTGGAGATGCTCTAACTACACTCTTATCTAACTACACTCTTATCTAACTACACTCTTAGTTAGACTTTCAAAAAAATCAAGACTATGAAAAATCTAATCTATTTGAAGGTTGTACTTTTTTAACCACAATAAATCTAAAATGATTGGATTAAAAGGAGATTTAATGGTATTAAATGCCACAAAACTACTATGACCATTAGTTACTACTTTTTAAATAAATGTTTCATGAATAATATCTCTAAAGGACAATAGATTACCATCTATGATTTTTATGTGAATAGGTTTTTTATTTTTATTTTTTATTAAAAATATATTAAGTCTTTTAACAAATTGTTCATCTAAAAAACAAATTGAAGCTCTTGAATCTAGCAAAGCAAAGATTTTGTGATATTTAGGTCTAAAACTAACATCTATTATAAAACAAAGAGAGGGTTTTGAAGAGAGAATAGGACCTTCATTAGATGTTGTGTAAGTTTTCAATCGCGTGGTCCCTATTGTAGCTCAACAAATTTGTTTTCTAACATATTGTCTTCTTTGATAATTTTACTTTTTATTTTATTATTGGATTACTTCTTTAGACAATCTTCAGTAGTGTGCTTTGATTTTTTACAATATAAATATAATCTTTCTTGACAACATCAAGTTTTTTCTTGCTCAATAAGAAGTTTAAAACATACCATATTAATTTCTATATCTTTTACTTTCAAAGGTATGTATTGAAAAGATGTTGGTATTGCCATTGAATTGTAATAATGTTAAGGCCTACTTATAGAATTTTTGGACTAAAATTCAAAAAATCCATTATTAAATTTTATAGCAAAATCAATTGCTTGATGTAATATTTAAGAAATAAGTAACTGAGCATTAATTTCTTTATCTCATATTATAATCTACAAAAAAAATGGCTAATGAGTGTAGCATCATTTTACATGATATCAATTACAAGTTATCAATATTGAAAAGCATACAATATTACAAATTAAATTTCTTCTTACAAAATACAGATTTTATTTGTTGTAACATAAATTACATTATATTTTCTATATGTACATTAAAACTCTATCAAAAAAGCTTCTAAATTATCCAATATTAGATCATATTATTTAAAAAAAGATAAAAATCATAATAATATAAAATTGAAAAGTAGTGTTTAAATAAATCTAACTTATAATCTTGGAGTTGGATAGCTTTAGGATTAAAGTTCAATTATTAGTTGTACTTTATTGATAAATCCTCAAAATTTTGATCTTATACCATCAAACTTCTCAGATAAGGTAATTTTTAGTTTTTTAATTCTTGAATGGTGTTCTACTGTAAGAGAAACGACATGATTTGGTATAGATATTGAAGCAGCTTCAATCATCTCTATAATTCTATTTTCTATTATTTTTGTTCATCCTTATAGTGGTAAATTGAGTTGATGTATTATAAGCATTAATTCCTTCAATTATTCTTGCATTTGTGCAATTGCACTCTTCATTTTGACAAGTTCTACTATAATAACATGTAAAAAAAATAATATGTCTAATATTGCTCAAGTCGAGTAGAAAAAAAGATTTGAGAATAAAGAAATTATTCTAAACAATATCAGTTTAAAAGAAGGTAATTTGTAACTTCTAATATGCTTATGTCTTATCAAGAGAAAGAAGTAATCTATTTTTAATCAAGAAAAGATAAAACTCTAATATTATAAATATATTCTTGTCAATTTATCAAAGACAAGAATTTGATGAAAGCAAATAAATAAGTGAGACTTTCTTAAAGAATTATGAAAAAATAAAAATAAAGAAGTATGTATATTTAAAAAGAAAAAAAACTAAAATGGCTATTGTCAAAAGATAAAAAAATTATGAACTCTTGAAACTAGACTAGAAGTAAAAAAAAGAATTGACAAGAGTGAAAAAGGCTTCACTCTTGGCTCTATATATACTATCTACCTAGACGCTTTGTGGCAATATTCTATAAGACCTCTAAAATGTGTTGGCTTTGCATAATACATATTTTAATTTACAATACAAGTTTTCTATATGGATACCACATAATTAGCTTATTTTGCAACCTATCAACATGTTGTCATGTTGTGGTTTGGCTACCATGTGAAAATAATATGATTATGTATTTAATGTATAATTTACTTAACAACATGGTGAGAGCCATATTATTGGATTTTAGTTGGTTTTAGAATGTCGTTAAATTACTACTTTAAAAGGAGGTTGTTTAAAAGGATTACTATTAGAATTTGTATAACTTTATTTTCTTTTGATAATAGCTTTTAAGATTGGTTTTGATTGATAGTAACTTCTAAATATTTAGAGTCACCTTTGTTAGACATTGGTTCTTTTATTTGGTATTTAGAACATAAATTATGTAAATCTTATAAGAAAAAGGATTGAAGAAGGATTTTGGTAGAAAAGGGAGTAATTAGGACACCATTATAGATGAATGGAGATGGATGATGAAAATCTCTATTCCTATTGGTCAAAAATCATGACCAATTGGCTTTGAGGAGGCTATTTGATGACATATTAGGGATTAGGGTTAGTTTTTCTGGGCCATTCGAGCTTTGAAGGCTAGGGTCAGCAAGTTTAGGTTTTTGGCTATGGTTTTGGTGCAAATCTTGTATGATTTGGAGTTTATATGAAGCAAATATAGGCACTCAAAGTTAAGGTGTTGATTTGGGAGCTATTGCCACTCTTTTTGATATAATGCACTCGTACAAAAGGCAATTGAGGATCGGCAACTGCGATTGGAGAGAGCACTTTTGCGGCTACTCTTTTTGCACACTGCTTACTAGATTCCAAGTTGGAATGAAGGAGTTATTGGATTTTGAAGTCAGTACATGCAATCTAAGGGTAATAGGTGACCCAATTTACTAGTGGTTGTGTCTTGAGCTATATCTTGAGTAATTTGACAAGGTTTTGGCTCAAAATATCAAGGAATGTGTAAATTCATGTCAATAATCTTTGTACATAAGTTTGATGACATTTGAGTATTGGGTTCTTGAGATATTAAGAAAATAGTGCTCAGGTGCTTGTAAGTTATGGTTTAGAGTGTCTGCTAGGGTTTCTTAGATGCCAAAAGATCGGAAGTGATTCTGCCATTGGTTTTTTTTGTGATAAAACTTAAGGGTGAATCCTACCTACCCTATAAATTTAAGACAAATTAAACGGTTAGATCAAGAGTTATGAATTTCTAAAGTTCAAGAAGAAAAAACACTTTGAGGAAAAAATATGTTTTGAAGGGATTTTGTTATATTTTGAGTTTTATGCAAATTAAAGGAGTTTTGGAAGCTAAGACAAGATTCATATAAAAGTTTAAGCTAAACTCTCTACAGCTAGATATCCAGTGTATTTCCAGATAGCAAATCACACTATACGACAACGTGTGGCATGTGGTTAACTTGTTGACCAAGTTTTTAACTTATTAATCAACTACAAATACATGTGAAGTCAAAATAGCATCTAAAAAGCTTCTAGAAAGCTTTTTCAAAAAGTATTATGAAATTAATCTACTTTTACCTATTTCTATCTATTCATATTACTTAGGTAACAATTACAATAAATATATGTCCATGACAGATATGTTTACAATTTGTAAAATTCTAAGGGATATATTTGTAAATTTTCCTTAAATTAAAGATAAATTTATTTAATATCGCTTAGATCTTTTTTCATTCATGCCAACTTAGTCCAAAAGAATTATAGATAATTTTTTATTTTATTTTATTTTTTAAAAATCATGCATCAAACCTATTATGAAACAATTCTCAATTCTGCTAAGTTTATACAAATCAATTTTCATTTGTGTATAAAAAAATCATTGAATTTGTCAATCAAGCCATATGATTGTAATGGTTTCAGGAAGGAAATTAATGAATAATAAACAAGTACATGAATTTCCGACATCAAACCTGACCACAAAAATCAGAATCCAATCCACAATTGAATTTTGGAAAAAGTAGTTGATCTGGTCAGGAAACCCCACAACACATCAACTTTTGGATGAATTTTCCAGCAACCATCATATATAAAAAGTTGAAAAACCATCAAACACAAAACGATGTTCAGTATCGATCAAAAAGTACTAATTGAGGGTGTTCTCATTCCACTCAATCCGAAGAAGAATAATTTTTCGTGATGCAAAGCTCAAGTGGGAATACATCCTTTTGTTTTTAATTTTTCGATTTCCACAAAGAGCAGAAAACAGCAACAAAGCTTCGATAAAAAGCTTAAAAATCACGGAAGACCTAACACTTGTCAGACTCGAAGGAATGCCACTTGCGAATTGGACAAAAGCACCGAAAGCTCGACGACAAGCGCGACAAATACACTAAAAATAGAGAAGCATGGACACGAGACCCGAAACGAAGCGCGAATTCGCCGCTTCCGACAAAATTACATGTATCATATGAAACTACGGCGCTGGTCCCCGCGGGATGGAGGGTGTGAAGTGACCTCATGCTTGACGAAGTGGATACTGCATTAGTCGTCGAATCCACGTCGATCGCCCCATCTCCCTTCCCCCACCAGAGCTAGGTCTTTCCGCTTCCTCGCCTCTGAACCCATCGATTGTCGAAATGACGATTTTGCTGAATAGTTCATGACTGCAGATTTTTGTTGTTGTTGTTGTTTCAGAGCTTGGGATGCTGGTTGATTGAGTGTTTCGGTGTGTAACGTGCTGCTCCTGTTTGCTGCAACCAGTAGTTGATTGGTGTCGTAGCTGACTTTGGACTCTTGGACGGTGTAGCGAAAGGGTTTCATCAATTCGAGGTGGGGTGGAATTTGTTAGCGGCCGAGGAGTCGGCGAGCTGTTTGCGTCGTGATGGTTGGTTGAGCTGTGTGGTGGTGTTGTATGGTGGAGTTTTGGTGTGGGAGTGGGGGGCTGGTGAGAGGATTCGGAGAAGGTGAAAATTTCTGGATATGGTGAGGGCCAGTAATGCCCTGGTGGCGACGAAATGGGTGGGGTTGTCGGCAGCTATTTGGGTGCAAGCCTCGGCTGGAAACGCTTACATGTTCGCGTTCTACTCTCCGACGCTCAAGTATGTGCTTAGTTATAACCAGGTCCAGCTGAACAACTTAGGTGTGGCGAAAGATTTCGGTGAGAATGTGGGTCTCCTTGCTGGCGTTCTGTGTAACAAGCTTCCCCCGTGGACGCTCTTGTGCACTGGCGCTCTCTGCGGCTTCGTGGGTTATGGATCTTTGTGGCTCGTCGTCAGTGGTCAGATTGCTCCCATACCTTACTGGCAGGTCAGTGATCGCCTCTCTGTTGTTGAATCTTTCCGTGCCTATTTCTGTCTCTATCTGCTGGAAACTATGAAGAAGAATGAGGCTAAATCTTGTGGCCGTTTATGAGGAGTTTATTGACTTCTATGGACGTTCACGACCTTTACCTTAGCATGAGCTTGGATTTAGAGGAATTTGGGAGTGGGAATTTCATCCAAGCTCTGGAAAACTTGGCTTATGGAGAATTGTTTTTTAAAAACTTGATTAGGAGCTTTAGCTGTCAGGGCTTTTGTGCTTATGTGATTTGTGTATTGCGGGAATTGTAGATGTTCGTGCTGCAATGCATTGCTAGTAATTCGGCAACGTGGTTCAATACAGCAGTTCTCGTCACATGCATGCGCAACTTTCCGCACTCGCGAGGCACCGTGGTTGGCATTCTCAAGGGTTTCGTAGGCCTTAGCGCGGCCATCTTCGCGCAATTCTACACAGCTCTCTTATCATCCGACGCTTCCCAGCTCCTGCTCTTTCTCGCAGTTGCTCCAACGGTGGTGTGTCTCGCCTCCATGCTCTTCGTCCGGCCCGTTTCAGCGGTTCAGAATGTTAGAAATTCCGACGAACACAAAAAATTTGACTTCATCACCGCTATGTGCATTACGCTCGCGGGTTACCTCCTCATCATCACTTTTATTGAAAGAATGGTTGTGATGAACGACGTCATTCTCATTATGTTGACAGTTGTGATGGTGCTCTTCTTAGCCGCTCCTTTAGCTATCCCAGTCAAGATCCTGTCGGGAGACTGGTTCGGCATCACTCAAATTACAGAAGACTCACTTCAAGATGCCCTGGAGCCACTACTCGAGAAAGATCCCAAGGCGAATGCTCAACCCTCAAACCCGACATCGATGAGCACCGAAGGAAAATCACCCCAAGAGGTTGCGACTTCCACACAGACTGATTTGAGAGCCTTGGATTATGAGGAGAAGGGGAAGAACATGATATTGCACGAACACAATTTAGCGAAGCTTACCCAAGAGGATGACGATCCGGAGATTCTTCTAGCTGTCGGAGAAGGAGCAGTGAAGAAATCCAAGAGACGACCGAGACGAGGAGAGGATTTCAATCTCCGGCAGGCGCTAGTGAAGGCCGATTTCTGGCTTCTTTTCTTTACATTTTTTTGTGGAGTTGGATCTGGCGTCACCGTAATCAACAATTTAGGCCAAATCGGCGAAGCGCAGGGATACTACAATATCAACATCTTCATTTCTTTGTTCAGTATAGCGAATTTTCTCGGGCGTCTTGGAGGAGGCTCCTTGTCTGAGCACTACGTCAGGTCTGACGCACTGCCCAGGCCATTGTGGATGGGAATAGCCCAGATCATTCTCATATTTGTCCACCTGATTTTCGCATCTGCGTTACCTGGCACGCTCTACGTTGGCTCCATATTACTAGGGCTGTGCTATGGCTTCCACTTCTCAATCATGGTGCCCACGGCGTCTGAGCTTTTTGGTCTCAAGCACTTCGGCAAGATCTACAATTGTCTCACCATCTCCAATCCTCTCGGTTCGTTTCTGTTTTCTGGGTTCATAGCGGGGTACCTGTACGATGCGGAAGCTAAGAAAGGCTCAGGGTTTGGAAGCAATCTTAAGGATCAGGAAACTTGCACTGGTTCCCATTGTTTCCGACTGACATTCTACGTCCTGGCTTGTGTTTGTAGCGTGGGTGTCATATTGACAGGCGTTTTAACGTACAGGATTCGAAGTGTGTACACTTCTATGTATACGAAATCTCCTCATCCTTCCACATCCGATCTTCAGGCGCAAGAATCAGTGGAATGAGATTTCTCTTTCTCGAAATGCTCATGTTTTGTTAGAGACCCAATTTTGATAAACCAACTACTGCACCATGAGCGACTGATACTAGTGTTGCAATGGAAAATCTTCCATAGACACATAGACTTGAGAAATTTTTGCTAAGGGAGAGAAGTGTGTTACAGGAGTTTCACGTCGCAATGGTTGGAGAATTGAGTGCTGTGTTGGGTTAATGCTGCTGCAATGTGTCATATGAGATGGTTTCTCTTTTTGCAGAAATGTGGGTATGGGTATTTGAAAAACACAATAACAGCTATGTGAATCATGATGGTCTCTTTTCTGCATGAGGATACTGTGACGACTTGTTTTTTGAATGTTTTTTTATTTGGTGAAAAAAGTTATTGTTTGGAAACTTTGGTTTTTGGAGCTAGTGTAAAGAGGTGGTTTGAAATGACTCTAAACTACCAAAGGATGATAGGCTGTACTCAAGTATGCAAAAGTATTATCAAAAAGATTGGGAGTTCAAATCTCAGTCGTGAAATTATAACTATTTTGATGGAATCTTGAATAAAATTTATTCTTATTTTGTCTATTAAAATATAAATACAAAGATGCTAAAAATTGAACCATATTAATTCTATTGTATTTGTGAATAAGGTGGCTTATATCATAATTGTATAAATTTTAATAAATATAAAAATATGGATTATTTTAACTTTAATTTTGGCTATCTTTAGATATTTTAAGATTTAGCTTCTAATGTTTTATTAATAACAACCTCTTTGGGACGGCCTAATGCATTTTGTAGACAACAATTTTATTTATGCTATACAAAAAAATAAAAATAAAAAACCAAAAACAAAGTATTTCAACTTAATATTTTCTTCTCACAAACTCTTAGATGATTTTTCTAAATATAAAACCAATTAAAAAATACATCTTAATTTTATCTAATTATAAGCTTTAAAAGAAGTGGCTTTTGATCTTCTTTCTAAAGCATAAAGGATTTCTTTGATATCCTACATTGCTCATACAAATAATAACTTATTAAGTTATTTTTAGAATTAAATGTATTTGTGTCTTTAAAATCTAAGTTATAGTATTAGTAAAGTAGGATATTTTGCCATAGTATTTGATTAAATTATTATTGAATTCCCTATTTTATGTACCAAACATATCATTATGCACCAATATCAAATGTTTTATTTAGATGATCTTTAAAATATTATTGTGAGGGATTAAGGCCCCTTTTTTTTTTTTTTTTTTTTTTTTTTTTTTTAAATTAGAGTCTTAGAGGATTGTTAATAATTAACTATAGCAAACAAGAAAGTGTTTTTTTATTAAGAATGTATAGATTGATTTTTTTATCTTAATCTATTTACCAACATTTTATCTATCTTAATCTATTTACCAACATTTTATCTATCTTAATCCATTTACCAACATAAATATGATTATTTTTGATGTAAAAGAAATTCCAATAATACATATATACAAATAAAATCTAAAACTTCTATAGATAAAAATTATTGTTTTAGTAGACATGGTAACCTTAGAAGACTTTAACTTTAAGAAAAAGGATCAAAGAATTAACTAATTACATAAAATCAATAAAATAACAAATAAACCAACAAAGCATTGAATCTAAATTATAAATTTTGTTATGTTTTCTATAGATATTATTAAATATAAATTTAATGCTTTTAAATTTTCATTATTCTATAAATTCTTTAATTTCAAAAATATGTGAAAATCACCAAACATAGGTCAATTAACTAGCATAATCTTAGAAAAAAATACTTATTCATGAATATTAGTTCAAATTTTGATAAAAAAATATTTTTTAAGGTGATAATGCATAAAGATATTTCTATTCTAGATTAAACATGTTAGAATTGATTAAATTATCTAGTAAATATAAAATAATAAAATATAATTAGATAATATGTTTATTATATTGAAACTTATTTTAATATTCAAATATATATTATTTAAGCATATAGTATTTTTTTTAAACTAAAAAAATGTAATAAGATACCTACTTAATAAATGAAAAATAGTTATAGAACCATAAAAAAACATAAGGAGAGAAACAAAGAATATAGATAATACAACTTTTAGTTGTGATTAAATTTTAATTAAAAAATTCTTTGAGTTAATAAAATTAACTATACTATCAAAATAAACCAGTAGAAATTTTAATTAAAAAATATACTTTGATAGTATAGTTTATTTTGATAGTATAGTTAATTTCACCGACACCAACTTGGGTGGCGAGCTCATTCAACAGCATCACATTCCTGCTCTCCCCTGCAGCTTCTACCTGCTCCATCAAAGGCTTTCATGTTTGTCTTATAATCAGTATACATCTAGAGCATCGCATACTCTCGTTATGATGTGCATTGGAACTGCTCAGTGAGGAAAGGAGTATATTCCACACTAAGAGAGATTTCTCATCCATGTCTGCAACGAGTGCCGCGTTCCTGGCTCGGAACAGATCTAGAGCAACTTCCATCACTGGAATGGTCGGCAGCTAGATGTGGGTTCTCACTTCACTGTGTGGATGATCTCATTCTTGACGCGCAAAGACTCTTGACTAGCACGATGAGCTGCAGCGTACAATTGTTGATACTTCGACTCACAGCTCTCCAAGTGGGGTCCAGTGATTTCAGATGAGAATGATCTGAGCTGATTCGGCATGTTGTGTGGAAGGCTTCTGTTGGGATGCGTTTGCCAAATCACCGTGAAGTTTCACGATTAGCGTCTGTTGAGATGTCTGGAGAAAGAGACATGCTATTAGATCGTGCTGACTGTAATCTAGTTGAGATATTCAAACGAATCTTTTATGATTTGCAGGCGATGGAGTTTCCTCCGGTGCTCTGTTGCTCTCAAGCCAGCGTCCTTCAGGGGACAGTTCTAATCCCTTGTTCTCGACTTGCCACCAATGCCCCGGAATGCACAAACTGTCTTGCAAAACATCGGTGTATTTGTTCACCAAGGCGTAATCTCTACCAGTAACCAGCTTGAAGCTCTTCGACTTGGCTCCTTGGTAGCCATCCACATGGTGCAAGTAACACTCTAAATCGTGCCAATCCAACGGATCTTTGGTGTGTTTCAAGTAAGTTGACAGCTTGGGATCAAGCCGAAGCTCGATGCCGATATGTTTGGTGGCGTCCGACGAGCCCCAGAGAGGGTAAAAATTAGCGATACTCTTAGGCACGACATCATGCACATTCACCACCCGCAGAACCTTCACTTGCAATCCTTTGACTCTTCTCCTGAATGCAACGTTTCCGACGTGAGGGCTTCCGAAAGTGAAGACTGTCAGGGGGATGGCGGAGTTCGTTGGGTGCTTATTTAGACCTCTCTCCGCAATCTCGTAGGCAGATAGAATGGCAAGAGCGCCGCCGAGGCCATGTCCAGTGAAGGTAATACTGAGGTTCTCGTCTTTATAGAGCTCGATTAATCTTGAGAGTTCGGTTATAACCTGCATTCGGATGCGAAGAGTTTTAGCATCTACAAGCATGTTGCTTAACTCCGTCGCAACAGAAACATCACCCGTCAAAGTATTAACTCAGACATGTGAGATGTGGGAGAGACAAATTCACAGACTGACCTGTTGAGAAGCGCTCTTCTGGTTGAATTGCGATGACTGTCGTTAGCAAGTGTATAATCTCCAGAATCCCCTCTCTACTTTACGGCATTGCACCTCAGATACAGTGGACTTCTCCCCCGCAACCCAAATCGGTGCCATTTGCGTTTGAGCATCAAAGAGCCACTCGAAATTTTTTGCCGTCCCACGACATGCAACTACTATGTCCCTTCTTCCCAGCCGCTCTAACTCTTGCTCGCACGTCGCAACGGCCACATATCCCATCCAGTTTGAGTCTCTATCCCAGCTCTCGGAGCAGACAGACGATTGCAATACCCCTGGGAGTGAATTATCGCTTGTTGCGTACAGGTATCTTGTCACCTCGTACCCACTATCTTGCTTGTGAAGCTTCCGAAATAGAGTTTGTTTTGAGTATCGTGCACTTCCGGCATATTTCGACTGAATGTTCCATTCGACATTATCGTACGCAAGTTGTGCAAAGTCACCATAACGAAGAAGCTCTTTTCTAAGTTCGAGGTTTAGGGGATCCAGAAGGCCATTCCAATTCTCAGCCCCGTGAATTAGTCTCCATTTACTTGAGGGTGACACCTCAGAGGGCTTTGATTGCTCAGGAAGAGATGGGACGGGAGAGTTAAGGTCGAGGTCGCTAGAGCTTCCGAACTTGGAGCTGCTGGACATATTCAAGCTCGTGAAATGGAGGCTTTTGTTTGTACCAGTTTCGGTGGGGGAAACAACGGTTTCCAAACGATATTTGGTGTGCGGTTGTATCTGCCATAGCTGCCCTATCTGCGACTCTTCCTTCGAAAGATTCTTCTTCGCTTCGTTACTCACATCAAGTGTTTGAAACCCTACAGTCTCTGTCATGCCCTGTTCCCCTGCGGCTTTGTGGTCGAATGAGGGAGTCTCCTTGGTATCGGAGCCATTGGTAACAGATCTGCAAGGTGCGTCCTCTCGTACTGTAGCTCTAGATCTCGACCAAAAACCTCTTAACTTCCAGTTTCCAGAAACAGATCTTCTAAGCACTGAATCGACTGTTGGTGAAGGTTCTCCAGTTGAGAGGTCTAGTGGGGCAGAAGCGTTAGTGAACAGGGATTGATGGCGCCTGTGTGTTTTAGGTCTAGCTTTCGACTTCACAAAATCATCATTTATCGGAACATTGACGAGGCTTGTATACTCCGCGACTTCTCCACTGGATGACATTACGGCAGGTGTTGCACGCACCATGTTAAGTTTCTAGTAGAAGCCTCGAGCTTACACTGCTTCCTGAACTACGTGTGGATTAATACTCCGCGCCGAACAGTCGTGGATAGGAACTACAGCTTCAAGCAATTCTGACAACTGCAACTAAGACTATCAGACAAGATGCGGCACGATCGCATGGGGAACTATACAAAGCTAGATTCCCACGTCTCAGAACGGCGTCGGTATCGAAGCATAGAGACACAAATCCCGTCACCTGTCTGCGTGTATCTCTACGAGACACGCCAAACGATCTACTAAAACTCGCTGCCAAATCTTCGTGCGATTAAGTACTGAAGAAGAACCCGAAAACCATCTAGCAGCCAAAGTCACTGATTGTGGGCTACTTCGGACAACGTGCGTGTGCCCCTGACAAACTGCAGACAAGAGTTAGGAGGTCGAGTGATGCGCGATGTCACGTTTCCAGGGAGACCCCAGCTCAGGCATCTCGGAAGCATCGTGTCCAGGTTCAGAGGTTCAATGAAAAACGCCGCCTGCGACGACTTTGCTGACCAAACAAACAGCCGCCTTCGCATCACTCTCACGTAATTCAAACATAGACACGTTTTAAGTAAATGAAATATATACACATGCATGTATCGAGAGGGAGGTTCAATTGAATTCTGGTTAATAAACAGTGATTCCATGGAGAAGTTCACATGAATGTACTAGTTTAAAGTATATTTTCACGTGAGGTTTTTTTCTTTCTAGAAACTAATATATCAAGCAATAACGTAATTTACAAAATTAACATACACGTGCAAACATCGACAAATGGCAAGTGCTCTGTTTGATGTTATCCACTTTTATTTATTTTTATTTTTATCAATAACAAGACTCGATGCAGTAGACAACCACATGTTTTGTAAATTACAAGTACTTAATTATTTTGGGATAGCTATACATTGATGGTAAGATGAATGGCCATTAGTAAAAACGATACTATTGATACAGTAATTCCATAAATAATACCACTACTACACCACAAACATGTTATAATTGAATTCATTGTTAAAGCAAGATACATAAAATATTTCTCGTCGACGTCGTCGACCTTCGTCCACGGACACAAGTCTTCGTCGCGTTTCCGTCGCTGCGACACCAGCTCGCACTCAGTCGGGAGATCGATTGCGGACTCGGAGATTGTTGCTGCCACGCGAGAGATTCCAGATCGGTTTTCACCTTGAACCACTCCAGATCTGCAGCTCCTCTGTTCCAATGTGATAGCAGAAGAATTGTGGGGTTGTCATTTTCATCAGCCAGAGTGGGTGTTAAACTCGCGACAGTCAGTGTCGATTGTTTTTCTCAAAATGGATGTAAGCATTTCTTATTCCTTTTTTTTGTGCATTTCCGTTTGCTATGTAGCAGCATTGATTTGCTTGTGATGACCTGTCGACAAATTGGGGTAAATCCTGCTTGTAGTCGCACCAAGGGAGCAAGAAGCGGCATTTCTCTCAGAAGCGTAGGGTTTAGTTGGTGTTTTAGTTTTGAGGTGCGCGTGATCTAGTCTTTGTTATGCCTGATGGGAATGTTTCCTTTACATGGGATCGTCACTGTCTGTCTTAATGACCATGTAGCATTGGACCTAGACGATCGTATTTGACACGCACTTAGTGCTGCTCTGTTGCCTTCGTAGCTAGTTTTGCATCGCTTTGTATTTTAGAATGTTACTTGCTCTTGTCTGGAGCATATGAGGATAGTGAGGGGATGCAATTTCGTATAGGATAGGGGCAATGTTGTGTTTAAGCTGCAGAGCACCTACTGAGCAATGCACATTGCAGCTACGACGGGATCAATTAACCACACGATTTTGTTGCGGTGATTTGATTTTACCTGGGATATTTGTAACTTGTAATCCCGCGAATCCCACATGTATTTATTCTACGAGACTTAAATGTAGGGATTTATAGCCTCTTTATTCTGAGTTCATTCATGTAGAGGCTTAAATTTATGTGCTTGGCTTGGTAATTAGCACCGCCACTTTAGATATGTATGCCTGATATCTTTTTGGTTTGCAGGTCTCTATTTCGTTGGTGAAGAACGTGATACTTCTAGATTCTGAGGGGAAGCGCGTGGCTGTCAAATATTTTTCGGATGACTGGCCTGGCTTGTCGGCTAAATTGGCCTTTGAGAAATCTATTTTCACGAAGACGCACCGAACAGGTGCTCGTTCAGAAGGTATTTTCAAATCCAATAGGCCGTGGATTATCCTCGTGGATGTGTGCAAAATATTTTCATCAGGAGCGTTGATTTTTAGTTGTCTGCATGATTCCGTAGCATAAGGAGTTTCCGAGCCACAATTTCCTTACCACGATCCGCATCTCTAGTATTCCAGCTGGAGAAAGAGCATGAAATGACATGCTTCTGATGTTTTGATTCTGTCTTGCAGCGGAGATTGGGCTGTTGGATGGTTATATTGTCGTGTACAAGTTCATCTCCGACCTCCATTTCTACGTGACCGGAGGTGAAGATGAGAACGAAATTATTGTGGCCACAGTTTTGCAAGGATTCTTCGATGCTGTTTCACTACTTCTCAGGTGGTTCCTTCTATTTTTTTGCCAGATTCACTTGTCTTGTTTTGGTTCATGCGATCTTTTTTCTTGAATTATCCTCTTATAATGGAGGTATTGCTTAGTATGTTTATGACTAATTTTCCACCTATTGGTTACCGTTCAGTTTTTTTCCTTTTGGTCAGTCTTGATAATCGTTTCAGTTCAGTAAAGTTGTGACAAATAGTTCATGTATAGAATCTGAAACTCATGCGAATGTCGTGCTGCAGGAACAACGTCGACAAGAAAAATATCTTGGAGAATTTTGATCTTGTTCTCCTTTGTCTCGATGAGATTGTGGATGGCGGGTACAGTACTTGTTTTTGCATCTTAGTTCTAACCAATATATTCTGACATTCGGTGTTCAGGATCTCCAACTTTTCGATTTCCTCGAGGAAGCGACTTGGAAGTTGCAGGAATGTTAATGATAGAGTTGATGTTCTAGCAGATGCACAATATTAGATATAAGAATGGTGGTACAATATGCATGTCACGTGTGGACACTCGTGTATTTCGGAGCTGTGCTTGTTGGGACTTTATTCATTGTTTAATTAGGATGTGTTTGTGTTCTGCACAAGTAAAGCCCTGCTGACATTTGACCTGGATTAATCTTGTCTGTGTAGAATTATATTGGAGACGGATGCGAATGTTATTGCTAGCAGAGTGGCGATGCGGGGTGCTAATGATGACGTACCCCTATCAGAGCAGGTATTCTTGGCTAGCTTTCTGTACTTGTGTTGCTTTGGCACTTCTTCCAAGGACTCAAGTGGTCGATGGTGGGATCAAGTCCATCGCTTGCTATTTTTGAAGGCAACTTCACGAATGTGTTCACTGTTGAGCTGCAAGTATTATGCAAGTATCTTTGTCATCTCACAAAACTTGTTATTATGTAATCATAGTTTCCTTCTGTCTGAAGTGTTCTTCCGCTCTCATCCTTTTTCATGTTTTTCATTGTATTGTGCAGACAATCTCTCAGGCACTCGCAACAGCGAAAGAGCACTTTGCAAGATCACTGCTCAAGTAAAACATTGGGCGTAGAATGTTCATGACGAAGTAGTAGAGAATTTTGGCACTTTCCGAACTTCCTAGAACAATACAACGCCAATCCTAGTGATTTTTAGCTTGGTGCAGTGTATGAACTCCTTTTTACGAATGCACACCCCCATCATTGTTTCTTCTTCTTAGAACAGCCGTTTTTTTTTCGTAGGGATACATTGACCTTAAAATGCCACTGAAGAGCTCTGTTCACTAGAGATTTCTGAAATAGAATAGGATGCGCTGTGGTCAAAGCTTGTCTTGTGTCCACTGTAGTTTGTGGGCACATTCTTTTCTAATACAAGTATATTCTAGCGAAACAGTCGTTGAAACGTCTAGTATTTTTGTTCATGATTTTACTGAAAGTAACCTTAACAAGTTAGTGTATGAATGGATGGGTCTTTCCTTTTCTCTCATCTTTTCTAGTGTGAGGTGTAAAGCCCAACTCGTACCTTTTGAGGCTAATGTCTAACGAGTAATCTAATCAAGGTGTCTCTTGCAATTTCTTTAGAATGTATATCAGATTATTGTCATTTCTCGACCTAAGCAAGCCTCTCGAAGGTAAGTGTCAAGTAAAGAGCAATGTGACTTGATCATGTCCCAGGATTATGGCGCGTCTGGCGATCTTTTAGCGAAGACGTGAGAATGTACTTGAGGTCAAACAAAGCTTTCTGGGGTCGCCTGATACTTGGCGCACTTGGAAGACACTGCGTGAGATAGTTTCATGTGATTCATAATTCATCGTAATGTATTAGTAACTGGTCACCCAGCTGCGGGTGGTGACGACGGGGTTCTCTGGGCTTGGGATCATTACATGTGACCAGCCTTTACTAACTGCTTTCACCAACTATTTGTTGTTTCTGTGGTGGCAGGCTGCTGAATATGTCTGCTGAGGGACGACTTTGTTAGTTAAGCCATAACTACCATTGATTCACCTCATCTTTTTGTCGGCTCCATTCATTTGAAAAAATTGAAGGATTGGTTCAGTTGACATGCATAATGTCATGCATGTTTAATTCCTTCAAAATTCTGCATTCGCATGAGCAAGTGCTCCGTTGTTGCTGTCGTGTTATTTTTTTTGTTTTTGTTTTTGTTTTTGTTTGTTTTCTTCGTTCCACTATGGCCTCGTTACGGAATGTCGAGGATTCCTTCGTTCATCTAGCAACCAGCATTTGCTCATCTATTACCTGAAGCCTTTATTTATTCCATGTAGGAAGCAAATACCAATCGTTTCTGTTGCGAAATTTCTCTCTAATTCATACCCTTGTTCGTCTCCATTTCTTATCCTTGGTACGCTTCTCGTGCAGAAGTATCTCATTTTATTTTCATTTCTACGATGCTTGCACTTGGCTGAAGTCACAGAATATTTTGAATTTATTGACTGTCTTGGACACATATTTTTCCGAATCTAAATCAAAAACTTTTCTTCAGGGGACTGGTGAGTTTGCTTTTGTTTAGCTTGTTCCTGGTGATTCTTGTCTCTGGGAGGCTCATTTTCAGACTGAAATTACACTAAAGGTATCAGACTCGTCATCCTCAAATAAGTTTGAGTACGAGTAGGAGCAGGTAACGGCCTGTTCGATCGAAACTGGATTCTCGAGGATCTAACACTGGAGTGGTTTGATCAATACAATATACTGAAGCCACTTCGCAAACTTCATTCCACAGATGGAGTTTTTCTTAATGCAACATAAACTGGGGAGAGTCCAAATTCGTTATGTTTGTAATTCAAGAGAAGGGCAAAGTGATTTCATCAATTATCATCGACATGCCCTGCACTCGGTTGATCCGTCCCCATCCTGGCAAGCAGACTTCCCGGAATTAGTGCATCCATTTGCAATTTCAATTTTCTTTAATACGGTTATAGATGTGAGAATATGTTACTGCAAGTGGTTTAAGAACGTGTATCTCCTAATAAATTTCTTGCGTCAATTCGACAATTCTGAACGAGCTATTTTGCTTCTTTCTTCCCATTTTTTTTTTTTTTTTTTTTTTTTTTCCCCTGAAGATTTGGGTGAGTGTGTGCAGTTGAATTTTTTGAAGATGTGCCGTGAACGGCCTATGAGGATGTATGAGCACCGCTATAGCTGGTTGATACTTTTAGGGTTGTTCCTCAACGCCTTACATAGTGTTCTATGCAGAGGTAAAATCGCATTCTCTTTTTGCGCATGAATCACATTGAATTTTCTTGATTTTAGTCCAGCTTTTCAAACGTTTTCTTGGCTTCACTGACTATCGTTTTTCATACAGTTCACGAATCTTTTTGCTGCTGTGAAAGAATGTATCAGTGATGCATTTGCTTTGTCTGGATTTCAGGGTTTGCTCCTGAGGTAGTGGGCACCAAACTGGGCCCAAGCAAAGGAGGCACGCAGATTAGGGTGCACGTGACAGGAAAGGAACTTGATGCTGTGAACCCACACTATGTGAGGTTAACGATTGGAAGCCTGTCAAGGCAAATCGTTTAACTGTCAGCAATGGAGGGATTGACGACGAGTTTGTTATGGCCCCATTCCAAACTTCTAATAAGGGCGTTGTTCGCCTATCCCACTCTCTGGATGGTGTCCACTACATCAATGCTGGTGAATTCGTTTATTATGGTAAGCGCCCTTACGTGTAGGCCTTCAGTGTGTAGACATTACTTTATGACGTACTTCTAATAACGGCGTTGAATGAATAGAATGAATTCCAATGTTTGATGAAACTTTTTCGGAAGCTTTCATCGCTCCTTAGACACAGCACCAGTGGCATTAAAACCTTTGTAGAAAACTGGTGGATTAGCCTATTGCCGTCATTCTATCTATGACAATCATTATCATGAATGGGTCTTCATTTGAGAATTCAGGTGTGTGTGGGGTCTAGAAACGTGGCTCAAACAACGAATAATTTTTAGGTACATTTTGTGCAGATGGAGAACAGTTGGCAAAAACTTACTTCCATTCAGCTGATACGGAAGGTGTCTGGGACCTTCAGAACTCAATATTTCCTTGTATCGACATGAAAGAGCTATTGTCCATATCCTTTACGCCAACCTGTGAAGACGAAGATGGAGTTATAACTGAGGCACGCTTTCCGATTTCATACGAGTATGCCTGCCAAACTAATGCCAAGTTGAGCGTACATTGTGCTATTGAATCTCCAAGCCCGCCACCCAATCCTTCCCCTCCAGAACCTCCACCGAATCCACCTTCACTTAGCCCGTCTATTAGTCCACCTCTCAAGTCCTCCAGAAAATCCACCGAATCCACCTTCACTTAGCCCGTCTATTAGTCCACCTCTCAAGTCCTCCAGAAAATCCACCGAATCCACCTTCACTTAGCCCGTCTATTAGTCCACCTCTCAAGTCCTCCAGAAAATCCACCGAATCCACCTTCACTTAGCCCGTCTATTAGTCCACCTCTCAAGAGTCCTCAAGAAAATCCACCGCCAGGAGGCCAGGTTATACCTTGCATCATTAATGCTTGCATGAAATATCTCTGTCTGGTTTAGCTGGTTTTTGAATCCCACCATCGTTCTGTATTATTCTTAAGGTGGAAATTTGAATGTCTTTTGTGTGTTTTCTCCGTTGCTAAAAGTTGTCTGCCAGTTGGGTTCAAATATGCCCTTATGTACTAGAACGACACAGGAATGGGTTTGTCCATCACTAGTGATGTTTGCCACACCTACAATTATGGATGTTGTTAATGTGATGACTGATGTAGTTGGATCCTTTATTGGAATCGGAGGACCAATGACATATGTTTGCTATCTAGGGTCATACAAATTTTGTATAGAAGTAAATTCTTTTTTCATAGTAATAAACGATGCTTTGGCTTTTTTATTCTATTCAAGTTTTTCTTTACAAATCAAACATATAAGTAGAGTTGTAACTTGAGAAAAGTTTTTAATAAAGATTCAATAATAATTGACAAAGTCCAAAAATATTATACATCTTTTATTGTTCTTGGGATCTTACAACCTATGATAGTTTAGACCTTCTTTGGATCCATCATAAGGCCTTCATTGGAAATGATATTCTCCTAATACCTATTCTTGATGGTGATCTTATTAAATCCTCAATAATCCACACACATTCATAAAGTTTATTTATTTTTTATTTATTTTTTCTTTTATAATATAGGAGCATCAGTTAGAAATTTAGAATGGCGTATAAAGTTCTTAGCTAAGTTGTCATCAATGTATTCTTTAAATGGAACCAGCCTATTTTGTGATAGGCTATAGATTGGTCTAAATGGTGGTTGAGTTTCTTCTTGAAGATCGATGGAACAATCATAAAGACAATATTTTGGAAGAATATTGGTATTTTTTTATATTTTTTAAAATGTCCTAGAAATCTTGATACTAGCTAGGAATATCACTTGATATCTTCTCATCATTAACAATGGATGTGGCATATACAGCAAAAGATTGTCCTTTATTTGCGGCATGCATAAAAGCTCTTGTACCTATCAATAAGGATTTGGATGTACTATATTTATGGATTTCTATTTGTCTAACAAGACCTTAAGCTAAACTATGGAAAGAATCAAGATTGCTAGAAATCCAACATATTTGAGGATTATATCTTTTTAACTACAATAATCCTAAAATAATTGAGTTAGAAGGAGATTTAATCACATTAAATATTATTAAACTATTATCACCACTAGTTGCTACTTCTACAGGAATAATTTTATGTATAACATCCTCAAAAGACAATGAACATCTATCTATTACTTCTATATGTACATGTTTGATTTTCTTAATTAAGGATATATCTTATTTTTTGAGAAAGTCTTCATCTATAAAATAGGTTGAGGCTTCTGAATCCAATAAAGCTACAACTTGGTGATTTTTTGGTCCTAAACAGACTTCTATTATAAAATAAGGTGAGGGATCAGAAGAGAGAATAGAATCTTTACTAGATATTGCACATGATTCCAGCCACATGGTCCCTATTGTAGCTAGAGCAACTCGTTTTTTGATACATTGTCTTCTTTGGCAATTGTGCTTCTCATTTTGTAATTGCATTGTTTCTTTGGACAATATTGAGCAATATGCTTAGCTTCTCTATAATATAAGCATAAGGCCTTTTGATGTTGTCGATTTTTTTCTTGCTTTGTGAAGAATTTAAAATGTATCATATCAATTTGCATTGATTTTAGCCTTGATAAATAAGTTTATGAAAACTTAGGAGCTGCCATCATTATTTGATTTATTCTTTTCTAGCCATATTTTTATTCTTGACATCTTTCAAATAATCGATTGTGGCATACAATGGCTTGAGCAATAAATTATTTCAAAGATTTTATCTTTGGCATTGTCAATAATAAGTCTTTGACATTATCCTTCAATCCATATCAAAATTGATTGATAAGGACTTTATCATTTTAGTCCAGGTCGCAAGCGAGGTTTTAGAACTTAGCAACATATATGGTGATTGACCATTGTCGTATGGCGTGATTTGCTATGTAGGAATACACTGGGTATCTAGCTATAGAGAGTGTAGCTTAAAAATTTATATGATTCTTGTCTTAGCTCCCAAAACTCCTTTATTTTTGTATAAAACTCCAAATATAACGAAATCCCTTCAAAACATATTTTTCCTGCGAAGGGTTTTCTTGCCTTGAAATTTAGAAAATCATAACTATTGATCTAACCGTTTAGTTTATCTCAAATTTACAAGATAGGTAGAATTAACCTTTAACTTTTATCACAAAAATAAACCAACCGCAAATGCACTTCCGATCTTTTGGCATCTAAGAAAACCTAGCAAGCACTCTAAACCCTAATTTACAAGTACCCAAAAAACTATTTTCCTTATATCTCAAAATCTCGAACTCCAAATATCATAAAAATTATGTACAAAGTTTACTAACATGAAATTACACATTCCCTGAAATTTTGAGCCAAAGCATTGTCAAATTGCTCAAGATATAGCTCAAGAGACAACCATTAGTAAATCGGTTTACTTAATACTCTTAGATTGCATGTGCTGACTTCAAAATCCAAGAACTTCTTCATGCCAACTTGAAATCTAGTAAGCCAATGTGAAAAGTATAGCCGCAAAAGTGTTCTCTCCAATCGCAGTCGCCGATCCTCAATTGCTATCCGTACGTGTGTGTTATGTCCAAAAGAGTGACAGTAGGTCCAAAACTAACACCTTAACTTTGAGCGCCTATAACTTCTTCATAAAAACCCCAAATGACACAAAACTTGTACCAAAACCATAGCCAAAAACCTAAACCTTCTGAATCTAGCCTTCAAAACTCAAATGGCCTTGAGAAACTAACCTTAATCCCTAATATGGCCCAAGGCAGCCTCCTCAAAGCCCATTGGTCATGATTTTTGACCAAAAGGAATGGAGATTTTCATTATTCATCTCCATTCATCTATATTGGTGCTCTAATTACTCCCTTTGCTACCAAAACCCTTCTTCAATCCTTTTTCTTATAAGATTTACATAAATTATGCTCTAAACACCAAATAAAAGAACCAAAATAAGTTTTCAAATGTCACCAATGTTTAACAAAGGTGACTCTAAATATTTAGAAGTTATTGTCAACCAAAACCAATCTTAAAAGCCACTATCAAAAAGAAATTAAAGTTATAAAAATTCTATGGTAGTCTTTTTAAACAACCTCTTCTCAAGATAATAACCAAATTATAATCTACAACCATTTAAAATCTACTAACATGGCTTTCACCATATTACTTAATAAATTATATATTAAGTACATAATTACATTATTTTCATATAATAGCCAAACCACAACATGACATCGTGATTCTTGTCGTAAAGATAAGAGCTTGGTCTTTGCTACTCTTTCTTGATCACTTTCTTCAAATGTGGCCTTAAATAATTCCAAGAATGAATTCAAAATATAAAGTAGTTGCAAATCTTTTTCTATTATAGAAGCAAGCTAAAAAAGAGTAATTCTTGATAGAAGTGCACCTATAAATCTGACTTGAGTAAATCCATTGGAGTATTGGAAAAGATGTAATCTTAGATAGAACTTGACTTATTGCAAAAATGCTTGAAATCTTGATCTTGTTCTATCAAACTTCTTAGGCATACTAATCTTTATCTCCATCAAACTTATAGAAGCAAAATTTCTTAAATTTGGTTGAGAAGTTGATCTATTTGCTTCCTTCAATTACACAACTTCGTGTCACTTACTCTGAACTTCTTCCATAGGTATATGTATAATATCTCCATGGTTCACATTGAAAATACATGAGATTTCAACTCTTAGAGTATTGACAAGCTCATGAAGATCTGCAATAGTTGTAAATCTATTCTTACTTTTGCCAAGAGTAGGATCCATAATTTTTTCTTCCATAGACAATTCAAACAAATTTAAAAAGTTAAATTAGACGAAAGCAATCCACAACCTTTAATAAAAAAGAATTCTACAAAGAAGGATAATCCACTCTCTTTAAAAAAAAGATCAATATTAGAAAAAAAAGATTTTTTTTGTTTTAAGGTGGATAGTCTATAACCTTCAAGATACAATAATAGCAGTAAAGTAATCCACTCATTTATAAAATAAGACTAAAACAGTTTATTAGCACTCTTGTCAAACGATTAAGGACATGAATCTTGAAAAAAAAAAATCCTTAATATACTCTTGTATCACTGAAAATAACTAAAAAGTCACTCAAAGGTGATATTATATTAAATTAGAATGGCTATTGCCAAAAAATAAAAAAACTAGAAAGTATTGAAATAAGACTAAGAACTAGAAAGGTGTTGACAAGAGTGAAGAAGGCTTCACTCTTGCCTCCATATATACTCTTAACTAGGAGCTATGTGGTGATGTCCTATAGGACCTCGAAGACGTGTTGACTTTATAAGACATGTATCTTAACTTGTAAGGCAAGTTTTTTATATGTGTACCACATAATTAGCTTGTTCAGCAAGCTATCAACATGTGATTAACTTGTTGACTAAGTTTCTAATCTATTAATCAACTACAAATTCATGTAAAATGAAGTAGCATCTATAAAGCTTCTAGAAAGCTTCTTGTCACGGACATACTCATATAAGCCAATAATTACATATACAAATAAGTAGAAGTAAATAAAAGTATATAAAAGTAAATTAATTCTATAATATTTGATATAAAAGCTTCTTAGAAGCTTTATAGACGTTGCTTTGACTTCATAGGTATCTTTAATTGATTTTTTGGATTAAAAACATGGTCAACAAGTTGGCCATGTGCCACACATGTTGTTAGCTTGAAGACCAAGCTAACTATATGGCCCACACGTAGAAAAAATTGCCTTATAAGTCAAGGCATGTGTCCTACAAAGTCAACACATATTAGAGGTCATATAGAATGTTGCCACATAGCCCCTAGTTAGATAGTATATATAGAGACAAGAGTGAAGCCTTCTTCACTCTTGTCAACTCCTTTCTTACTTCCAGTCTAGTTTCAAGGGTCTCTAGTTTTCTTGGCTTTTGGCAATAGCCATTCTAGTTTCTCTTTCAACATACATACTTATTTATTTATATTTTTTTACCTTTCTTTGAGTGAAGGCTCACTTATCTGAATTACTTTTTCATGGAGTTCTTGTC